TGGCAGCCCAGGGTTTTGCCAGTCCGGATCCTGGACGCGGGCATGGCACCGTTCATCAAGCCATGCTGAGGTGGCATCCCACATGCCACCACTAGAAGGACCTACAGCTAGAATATACAACTATGTACTGCAGGGCTTTGAGGAGAAGGAGAAGAAAGAAAAGGGAAAAAAAAAAAAGACTGGCAACGGATGTTAGCTCAGGTGCCAATCTTTAAAAAAAAAAAAGAAAAAGAAAACCTGAACATATCAATAACCATTAAAGAAATCCAATTAGGAGTCAGAAGTTTCTCCCCAGTTGCACAGCCCCCGACACTGCCAACCACCTCCAAAAATATTCCAGGTTCAGATGAATTTAAAGGCAAATTTTTACTAAACGCTGGCGGAACAAATAATCCCTGTGTATCCAGCGGTTTAAAGACGTCATTGCCTTGTCTTCTGGCCTCCATATCTTCCTATGAGAAGTCAGCAGTAATTCCTGTGATTATTCCTCGGTACGTAATATGCCATTTTCCTCTGGCCGCATTTAAGGTTTTCTTGGTTTACAGCAGTCTATCTTTGGTTATAGCAGTTTGACTATGATGCGCCTATATGTGATTTTCTTCATACTTGTTCTGTTTAGGATTGTCTGTTCCCTTGCTTATGTTTTGTTCTACTCCTTGGCTATTTCTAGGTTTTAATTTCTGTTGCTCTGTCCTTTGTTTCTGATGTAGGTTGGAAGTGCCATGAGCGGGGGTGGGTGGGTAGGAGGCACGCATGGCCCCCTCTGACTCTCTCCTTCTTCCTCAATCTGTATCGGTTTCCATCCCTGTGCCTATGAGGGCTTTGTCTACTTCAGAAGCAGAATGCCCAGGTCAGGTTCACCTGCCTACTCCTGGCAAACACCACAGCCCGCCTGGTAACAGAGGAGGTGATGTGCCCGCCCCATCCCTTGCATTACAGCTTTGATGGGTTCCTAAGTATCAGTGGACTACATTTCAGATCCATGCTGTTGTGAGTTCTGAAGCATCAAAGAACTTGTGGACACGACCCAAAGAGTTTATGATAAGGAAGAAGAACTCCCAAGTAGTTGAGCTGCTGATGAAACCTACTGGTCCTGGTGAGGAAATACAACGTAGGGATTCCACAGCTCTGCCAAGTTGCTGCTTTGGTGATCTATTCCAAGCCCGTCCAAGGTCTTGAATATGGCCTGTATGACCTCTACAACCTGGGTCCTCATCCTACACTGCCACTCGTAGGCCATAAACCCAGGCCAGTCACAGGACTTTGGAGTCCAAAGGATTACTACCTTAGTTTTAGACCCACAAAACATCCCAATATTGGAAATGGCCCTGGTGATTCTGGATAGGTAGATGTTTTTCCCAAGATGGCAGCAGGCTTAGCCTCAGACACTTACAGCTGCTTTAGACTTATCTAGTAGCTTTCTATTCACAACTTTAAAATGTCCACTAGCCACTATTTGGAATAGCAGGGTCCCAAGCTCAACAAATATCATCAGAGGCTGACAATCCTGTATAGGATGTTACCAGGGAGTAAAATATGATGGCTAGTCAGCCAAACTCAGTGCCCCTTATTCACTGACCTGGTTTCCACTGTCTTGCTTAGGTTTACTTACAATATAAAGTTTACTTTTGTAGAAGAAAATCTTGCCATTTGTGACAACATGGATGAGCCTGGAGTATATTATGTTAAGTGAAACAAGCCAGACACAGAAAGACAAATACTGTATGATCTCATTTATATGTGCAATCTAAAAGAGTCGCACTCATAAAAGCAGAGTAGAATGGTGATTACCTGGGGCTGGGAAGTGGGACAAATGGGAACCTATTGGTCAAAGGGTGCAAACTTTCACTTATGTAGGATGAATGAACTCTGGAGACCTAATGTACAGTATGAGGACTATAGTTAATAATATAGTAATGTATGCTTGAAATTTGCTGAGAGAATAGATCTTAAGCGTCCTCACCACACACACACACACAATGGTAATCATGTGAAGTGATGGGTGTGTTAATTAGCTTGACTGTGGAGATCATTTCACAATGTGAGTATACGTCAAAACATCACTTTGTACTCTTTAAATACATACGATTTTTGTCAATTATACCTCAATAAGGCTGGAGAAAAATAAAGTTTACTTTTGTGACAATTGCTTATTTCAAGAAAGCTTTATGTTAGTAATTGAATCTGTTGGCAAAGCTGTCATGCCAAGAAGCCAGGAAAGGCCTTTAGTGGACTGCCTTTAGGCCGTGCAGAGCAGGGGCAGGTCTGGGACAGGATGGGATGGGGGAGAGCGTCCCCTGTGTTCCCTGGGGACTTCCTGCAGTGGCTCCCAGCCTCAGCACCACCGCACAGTCGGGGGAACTCCTCCCTTTGGTAACTTTTCACTTCAAGGGTGGGTGGGGGTGGGCAGAGTGGAAAGAGTCTCAGCCGCTGCTTAAACGAGCCTAGACAATCAATGGGCAGCTCCAGCTGGTGTCCTGAAAGAGAGACTGAAATCCTACACTTTTTTTTTTTAAATGATGGACTTGATTTTTGGCATACACTTCTGGAGCTACTCTAGCTTTTAAGATAATGTCCATTTGGGATGTCAAGGACCACTTGGGTACGGCAGAGTTGTACAGTGCAGGTGTGCACCAGGAACAACTCCAGGCCTGCTACAGTGGGAAGGTTAGCTTCTGAGAAGCCCATCTATGGACTCCATCTTCCACCCTAAGAGAGCTTCTCAATGAGTGGAAGTCTTCTCTGGGCAAACTCAAGGAGTTCCTGCCCCACTCTGAAAGGAAGGGGATGGGACAGATGTCTGCCCTGATCCCGGGCCTTTACACCATCCAAAAATTATGCTGGTGGTCAACAAAAAAGAAACCCTGAGCCTGTTTGACAACACTTGTCTCAGATCCTCTACTTGACTTCTATGTTTCATTTCAGGCTCCACTCCTTCAAAACTCTGGCTTCCAACCTCTTTGATTTCCCAGTCTTGACTTATAGGACTGCTTGGACATGACTTACATTCATTATCTTTTTCTTCCTACTTTTTGTTGCTTTAGCTAACACCCAGCAAGATTCAGTCCTAAATGGGCTCCTCTCCATGGTGGCTTCTTTGCCAGTGCTCTGTCCAGTCTCGTCAGGACCGATCCACAGTGGAAGGTGGGGCAGAGTGGGTAAGCATATGGCAAGAACAAGCAAATGTGTGTGCAAGTGGGGAAGTGATGATGGTGAGCTAAAAGAAATGCCACCACCACTCTCCAATCTCTCCTGACGTGGGGGAGACTGAGCAGCTTCCACTCAACAGACTACCAGGAGGACAACAGTTCAGTTAAGCAATATGGTGACATGGCATTCTGCAAGCACTCTGATGATATAGACTAGTTTGTTCAGGACATCGTGGAATATCCAGTAGGCATGATGGATGGTCTTAAAGATCAGCACTGGGGCGGGGGGGACACAGCGTAGCATGGACATGAGAGTAAAGATGAGAACTCATGATCAGAGAGTCTTGCATTTAGGTTGGACAGCAAAGACCATAGGAAGAGAGGTTTGGCAGGACTGGCTGGAACAGGTGGAGGTGCCAGGTGACACCTAAAGCCTGAAAGGACTGATGGCCCCTGGTGAAAAGTTATCTTCAGCAGTAGGCTACGTAATTTTGGAGGTTTCAGTCTCTGATGGCCAGGACTGGAGTCATATTAAGTACAAGGTGAGACCAATCTCCTAGGAGGTTTTTGCTCAAGTGATTGGGAGGGGGTGTTGGGTATCCCTCAGGATACTCATCTTGTAATGGGTCGATGCTCCCCCATTGCACTTTAGAAAAGAGAAGAGAAGCAATTCAAGAGGGCCAAAGGCAAGAGGAATTTGTTCCCCCTACAAATTGATATAGTAAAAATGACTTCATCCAAAAAGTGTAATAGTTCACCTTTCACTCATTTCACCCTTGGCAGAATAGAGGGTGGTGAAATTGTCTGTACAGTTCCTTGCTTGAGCAAATGAGTTGGAGGTCTCTGAGGGTTCTGGCCTCCATCTGTCGTTTCTTATATTTTAAAAGGGAAATCAATGGTGGGTGGACTGAGTTCTTTCTCCTCCCTGGAGACAAAGCCCCAGTATTCTTTCCCAGCATTTTGCTTTTATGGTTTCTCTAGAAGAGTGTTCAAGACCTTTTGAACTGATTTCTAACCTTACCTCTCAAAATTTTTTAGTAACGAAATTCCTTCCTCAAGCAATAGTTTACACAGAACCACAATACATGAAACAGAGAAAACTCAGAATTTTATTAGCATGTATTTATTTTATAACTTCACACTTATAACATTGCACTTTGTTTACTGGCAATAAATGAGAACAATGAGGCCATTTTCATGAATACAAAAACACATGAAATCAGGGTCCATTGGATGACAACTGTATCACTTTGAACAGTATTGAAAAACATAACTTAGAGGGGCTGGCCCCGTGGCCGAGTGGTTGGGTTCGCGCGCTCCGCTGCAGGCGGCCCAGTGTTTCGTTGGTTCGAATCCTGGGCGCGGACATGGCACTGCTCATCAAACCACGCTGAGGCAGCGTCCCACATGCCACAACTAGAAGGACCCACAACGAAGAATATACAACTATGTACCAGGGGGCTTTGGGGAGAAAGAGGAAAAAAATAAAATCTTTAAAAAAAAAAAATATAACTTAGAAAGATAAATGATCACAAATGGTACCTTTTTAACAAAAATACTTTTCTTATACTCTCAGGATATTCAGTTAAAATTATCCATGATCAGAAAGAATAATTTATTGTTTCAGAGTCAAATCACTAGTAATAGTCAACTGCTGGAATTCTTATCACAAAGATAACAGACACAAGCACTCAGACTTACACAAGAGCCAAAACGGTTTCTAATGCGATGTCACAACTTGACTGGCAGCATACATATTTACTCGTTATGGCACAAGTGTTAGAACAATAAGAGAGCATGCATCGAACAGACAATAAGCATCATGAAAATCATAACGAGTCTCAACGCATCGAGGGCTTTCTACGTCCCAGACATCACGCTAAGTGCTGAAAAGGCTCGAGGGCATCTGATCCTAACAGCAACCTGATTCTATTCTTTTCCCATTTTTCTGATGAAGAAGCTGATGTTTAGAGAAGTTGAGCAACTTGTTTATTGGATACACGAAGCTTCCAGGATGCTATCTGTCACTGTGTGGGAGCCTTGTCTAGCAGTGAACTGAATGGTGCCCATTTATGCTCTGCTGGCACACTTCACATCACAGCACAGGCATGGGCCTGATTTAAACACCCACAAGGTGCTATCACTTCCTTAGTCTGTGCATGATTAAAAGAACTTCTGATATGCACTCAGATATCTCAAGGGAACCTTTTCTCCAAGGTCTGCACAAAATGAGTCAATCTCGAATCAAAAGCAAGTCTGCTGGGGAATGCCAATGTGTTAAAATTTGGATAACAGACTTGAGTCTATCTGTCATTTATTAGAGATTTAAAGAGTTTAAAGTACACTTTAAAGATGGAACTGCTGAAAAATCGCTGCAGACCTGCACAGCAGAGTTCGAAAACCACAGTGACAGTGGAGAGAGGACTAGTGAAAGTCAGAGAGCTCTGGACTCCGGTCTCAGCTCTGCCCCTCGTCAGCAGTTTGATACTGAGAAAGCCACTTAACCCATCTGAGCTTCAGTTTCTTTGTCTTTCAAAAAGAGCAAAATCATACCATACTGGGGCTGCTGGACATGTTAAAAGAGATCTGCGTAAAGCATCTGGCACATAGTAGGCCCTCAGCAAATGTGAGTTCCCTTCCTCTGCTCTTTGCCCTCTGTCACCATGAAAGATCTTCCTCTCTAACCAGACCAGCCTGCTCACCAAATCCAAACACGGCCTGTGTGTCCCCACTCTCCAGCACCGTCTCTTCTAATGTCTCCCTTCTCGGAGCACGCCTGTCACACTGCAGACCTCTTGAAAGCAAGGGTTAGGCTGAGTCATCTGTGTCTTCAGGGCCTAGCACAGTGCCTGGAACTGTCCAGCCGACACCTCCTGGGGAAGCAGGAGGCACGCTCTCCAAGTCAGGAAAAGAAAAAGACAGAACGGCAGAGACAGCTGTACTCACTTGGCAATGACGCTTCTATTGGCATCATGAACTTATTTACACATGAGGTTACATATTTAGCTTTTCACTTGTCAAGGTCACGTCCTCAACGAGACTGCAGGTGCCCTGAGAGCACGGCCCCTGCTCGTGGGTTTATGACTGTGTTCTCCTTGACCAGTGCCTCATGCTGCTGGGGACTCAGAGGGAATCTGCTGATTTGAGAAAGGAAAACACCCAACAAGTCAAAGAGCTCAGATTTTTAAATAGATTACAAAAGATATTTCTTCTCACATCATTTCTTTCTTCTATGGTGTGGGTAAACTTTGGTCTGTTTGGGGGTATTTAAAGGAAACCTGAAGTGCTTCAGATTCCTTTAGGCTTCCTGTCTCACATTTGGAATTTAATCTTTTGTTTGTTCATAATCTATGAAGGGCCCAAGAAACCCTCAGGCTTTTTTTTAGAAAGAAGAATCAAGACCTGGCTTGAACGCCTTGATTTCAATTGCGTACAGTAAAGAAAAACATATTGACAAGGTCTTAGCCTGGTAAAGCGAACGGCCCCAAGCCCAGTGGCGGTGGGCCCCCCTCTGAGTTGGTTTTCAGTCATCTGCCTCATTGTCCCAGTGGCCATAGCCGTCCCCTTCATCTGGCTCTTCAATATTCTCGTTTTCAAAAGAGGCCTCTTCCTCCTCCTCTTCCCGGATCACCTTCATCAACTCGAGGAAGCTGGGAGGCGGCCCCTGGTCTTTCAGCTCCCTGAGCCTACACCAGAGGATCTCGCTAAGGCTCGCCCCAGCCATGACCTGCTCCAAGCGGACCTGATCCGCGATGTTCCTCGGGATGGCCTGCTTCTCCACAGCTCTCCGGAGCAGGGTTTCTAACCGCAACACATAGGCAGAGACCTTCTCTCCTTCCTCCTGATAGGTCTTCAGATACTTCACCTGGGAGGTCCTGCGGCTCTCCAGGCTTCCAAACACTTGCTTAAACGCCTCCAAACACTCCTCCACACTGATGGACGGATTGTCCGCCTGCACTATATGCATGAGGTCCAGGGCAGGGCCACGCAGGCTTTCCATCAACCACCTTTTCTTTTCTGCCTCGGCTACCGGCCACTCTTTGACTATCTCAGTGGCCTGTTCCAACCAGATTTCAAAGGGCTCTTCCTCTGGCGCCGGCACAGCACTCCCGGAGAACACTCTCAGTTTCCGGTATCTCATGGGGAGCAGAGGCTGAGGGGCATGTGCTATTGCCTGGCCCAACAAATGGGCCAATAACTCCGGTGATACGCAGGGCACTGCGGCTGGAGACACTCCCTCATGCCCAAGGGCCCGGAACATCCCGGAGACTGTCTGCCCCTCTTTTTCTAGAAAGAGGTTCAGTCTTTCAAGAAATTCAGTGTCTTGGTTAGGGGTCTTAAAGATCACTTTCCAGATGCCCCCCCTTCCCTGAACCTCACTGGGGATCACTGAGACATCAATGTCCTCCATGAGCTCTAATAACACAGCATTGGCATTCTCCTGCTTCCTGAATATTTTGCCAAGCAGTCTATACCTGCCCAGAGACTTCAAAGTCTCCTGGAGAACCTCCTGAATCTCAGCCTCATCACAGTCCACTGGTATCCCCATAACCATCAGCGATTTCTGATCATCCACGCTCATTATCCTGCACCAGTCCTCCAGCAGTGCCAGCGCCATCGTCCTGAATATTTACTCGCTCTGACTCTATGGGTACTAATTAGTGCAGATGGGCACTGCCTTAGGATGGAGACTATCCTGAGGAGCTTCTAAACTTACAACCCACCAGTGAATGGACCTGGGTCAGGTCACTCCAAGAGCAGTCTCAGTCTTCTGGACCAATAACCCTTATTGCCCAGTGGCAAGAACTCAGAACCTCCTGTTACGTCTCTAGACCTGGGGTGGCTGGTAGTGTCAGTGGCTCTGCAGTCTGGTGGCTGCTGTCTCACTCGCCAATGCTAGCAGCCACTTGGTGGTGCTGACCCTTCTCTGACCGCCCAAGGCACCTTCGAGAGCTGTTTTCACCACTTTCCCCGTCTGTGCTGCTTCACTTCTCTCTAGTCAATGGGGAAACACCTCCACTCCAGCTCTCAGAAGTCCTGGAGAGACGTCTCACTGCAGAGTGCCCTGGACTCCTAGTGAAAGAACGGTCAGTTTTACCACACACCTCTCCTTCCCAGGGAGCATCGTACCCCACTTGTGGATGGACACGGGTGTAGACCCCACATTGTATTTGCCTCACATTATATTTGTGTCTATCCCACTCCATCAGATCTCTTTGCTTATAGTGACATTGTTTTTTCTCTTGGGGACCCTCCTGCAAGCTGGCTTCCCCACCACACGCTCATCAGACATGCTGATTAATGTCTGAGCCCCAGTTGTGGACAAGACTCAAGATCTTTCCCACATGAAAAATGAAATCAGGAAATGTGGCTAGATACCTGTTTACGCATTCCAGAATGTTCCATAAGAGTCAAGGAGCTTATTTATTCAGCTTCTAGCACAGGATGATGTCACCCAACTCTGCCCAATGGTGTGTCTGGGTCTTAGCTTCAGCCAAGCCAAGCTTCCCTGTTACACATAAATAATAAGAGTGTATTTTTATGGCTTGACAATACCCAATGATGAAGACTGTTAAGGCACTTATTCAAAAATATGACAATCCTTCAAAATTTAATTAAATCTACTAAACAGTATTGAGTTGCTTCATTTCTTTAATTTAGAAATCACTCAAACATTTAAAAACAATTTAATATAGGCATAACAATATAATTTATATAATATACTTTAATATGACATAATAATATAGGTATTACAACTTAATAGAAGTATAAAAATTTAAAAAACCTCAGGACCAAATCAATTAAACTTAAAATTATGAATTAAGTCTCTTTAGTTATGGCTGGTCAGGCCTTGCAAAAGCAAAACTAGATGCTTCTCTTGCTATGAATGGTAAGTTACTAACAGGATACTTTCTTCTTAGCATTTGGACTTGAATGGGTCATTTGAGGAAAAAGGAGAAGAGAGGAAGCACACCTGTGGAGGGGGGCAGAGACTGGGTAAGTGACAAGGGGACAGCTCCTATGTCTCCCAGCTACTGGTGTGGAGTGTGTCTAGGGCAGGAGCCATGACCATTCTTCCCCAGGCCTGAAAGTCTCCTTCAGTCCGAATGGGGTCCCTATGCCACAGATGTCCACCTGCGGTTATGGTGGCAGCTGCTCCTGCTGCAGGTACATTTCCTGAGTCTTTCTGGAAGGTGCTGAAGGCACGCGAGAACCAGAGGGCCAGAAGGGCAAAATGCTGGATCAGGCCCTCCCCAGCAGGCCCAGGGATCTGAGCCCAGAGACTCCACCATACCTCACCTTCCTCTTCTAAGATCCAGGGGTGACCTTCCTCCCCACTGTAATATTTAGAGGAAACAGGAGATGTAAAAAGGCATCGAATGCCCAGGAACAAACTTCTCCAAGGTCTCCACAGTAACCGTCATGTCGAGGTCAGGCTACCTTTGGGCGGCCTCTTCCTGCAAAGGCAATCTCTACATGCAGTGTGACCTTCCAATAAAAAGGTGGCAAGTAACGTGTCCTTGATACACGACAGGGTCACAGATGGAAAACGTGAAAATCTCGTATTTTCTCACATAAAGATATGATAAGTTGGAAAAGAAGCCAGACTTTCAGGTGGAAGACCCCACTGCAACTGCTGGATCATTTAGCCAGATAGTGACCTTGGGCAAAGCTCCTCAATGGCTCTAAATCTCAGTTTCCTACCCCAGAAAGCAGGGATGATAAAGCACTCTTCTCCCCGGGCTGCTGTGAGCAGGAAGTGACATCATCCGTGTGGAAGCACTTTCTTCAAACGCCAAGCACAGCTGGTGCTAAGTCCGAAAGCCTGCATCTGGATCTCTCAGTCCCTCCACCCGCATATTCCTCTCCTTCCTCCTTCCCACCTAGCACGGTGGGCTCATCTTCAAACTACGACTGCGGTTCTCTAAATTTACCTCCATTCACCAAACTACCCCTCACAATTAGGGGGTGGGTACCCGCATTTAATCCTTCCAGGTGCAACGGTTGACAATGGGACGGAATCCTCAGTCACACTGCCCAGCGCTACCTCTTAGCCCAAACCCACCCTGGTTACTGAGCATGCCCAGACCTCCCTCTCCAGCCGCCAGAGGATGGGCACCATTTCTGCAGGATTTTGCCAGCGTGGAAAGAGGGGTGGGGGGTAATCGACCAGAGGCAGGGACTGATACATGGAAAGGACGCGGGGTTGGGAGTAAGCCATGAAGAACCCTCAGAGACCGTGCCACTGGCACAAATCAAAGTGTCCCCTGGATGCCCTCCTACCCTGTGGCTGTGGCTGGTCTACCCGCACATACACACAAGTCCCCACACACCTTTCCCCAGCTTGGCCTCACACAGTCCAAGGTACTCAATCACAGACAGCACCCCACCTTCTACCCGCCACCGGATGCGCGCGCGCACTTACGCCGCAGGCACGGGTCGTCCGGCAACCTGGGAAACCCCGCGGCTCTGGCGCACTGCGCAACAGGGGCGGGGTGGGGGGGGAGGGGGCGGGGTGGGGGTGGAGGGGGCGGGGTGGGGGTGGAGGGGGCGAGGCGGGGCCCCCGGGGCGCCGGGTCAGGACTCGAGATTTGGCGAGTGGGCTTTAATCTGCGGCTTTCTCCCCCTTTGGGTGCGGGCGGAAGATACCAAATGAAGACAGTCTCCTGGGCTCTTCTTGGCGCAGTCACTGGTGCATGGCGCCCTCGGGCAATATAGCGGGTTTGCGCGCTCTCCCACTATATATAAGTTGCCGTGCAGACTGCAGACTGCACTCTTTGCTACACTCCCACGAACCGTGGACCTATGTCTCTCTCTATACGCTCCCACCATTTGCTACGCCCCTCTGCATTTCTCCCCGCCATGCCGTGCCTCTCCCAACACTGTGGATGCACAAAGTGAGAACCTTCTCGTTTCAATCTCTGCTCCCAGTAGCCCACCATGGCCCATGGGGAAAATAAAGCTTCGGTGTTCCGCGCCTTGTTTGGCCCCCACCTCTCCGCGCGGCCTGCGCCATCCCTTCCCCGTCCCCAGCGCCGCCCCTTCCCCTCCCCCTGGGTGTCCTGGCGCCAGTCAGTTTGTCCCCCTTTGCCCATCCATCAGTTCACATCCCGGTTAAGGGGGAGGAAGCCCTCCCCACGGTGGGCCCTAGCCCTTGGCCCACCTCCGCAATGTGGTGGGGGAGAAGGGCGCCGGGGCCAGGGGCTGCGCCCTCAGGTCTTCGCCCCCGCGTGCCCTGCCCCATACTTACGGTGAAGCCGAGAGCAGTCAGCGGGCCCTCCGCTCCGCATCCATTAGCCGGTGGTCTGGCCACTTCACTTCCGGAGCGCGGGGCTCTCGGCGGCGCGGCGGTCGCTCCCTCCCCTGCGCTCCGCGCCTCTCCCGGGGGCCGCGCCCCGCCCCCGCCCCGCCCGCGCCTCCCTCCTCCCTCCTCCCTCCTCCCTCCCCCCTCCTCCCGCCGCCGCCGGGAACTGGCAGCCTCTCCGCTCCCGCTGCCGCAGCGGCCGCCCTCCCAGACCCAACTTTCCGCTCACCCAAGCTCGCGAGGCGGCGGGGGGCGTGGGCAGGGAGGGGAGAAAGCGGGGTCAGGGGGAGGGACCGGGAGGGGCGGGTCGTCCGCTCGCAAGCCCTCCTTCCTTTCTGTACACCTTGCGGTAGGCACAGAGCGGTAGCGGCGGCTGCAGCCAGGGGGTTTGTGCACAGAGAGAGGCAGACTTAGGGACCGGCAGACGGACGGACTGACGGAGAGGACCCTCCTCGAGCCCCCGCGCCATGGCCGAGAGGAAGCAATCCGGGAAGGCGGCAGAGGACGAAGAGGTCCCTGCCTTTTTCAAAAACCTGGGCTCAGGCAGCCCCAAGCCCCGGCAGAAATTCTGTGGCATGTTCTGCCCCGTGGAAGGGTCCTCGGAGAACAAGACCATCGACTTCGACTCGCTGTCGGTGGGCCGGGGCTCGGGGCAGGTGGTGGCTCAGCAGCGGGACGTCGCCCACTTGGGCCCGGACCCGCAGCCGCCGTACTCCCGGCAGGGCCGGCGCGCCGGCGGGGAGCCATCTGTTGAATCGAGCCGGAAGGTGGAGATCCGGCGGGCCTCGGGCAAGGAAGCCCTGCAGAACCTCAACGACCAGGTTGGTATGGGGGAGGGGTGTTTGAAAGGGAGGACGGGGCGCGGGGATCGCCCCTCCCTCGCCCCCTTCCAGCTCGGTGAAGAACCGACGATCCCAGTGTGTCCACCGTCCTGCCCCTCCTCGAATACTGCCTCCCCGCATCTGCACACGCACCCCACCCTACCCGCCCCTTCTCCGTGCAGGGTGCGGAGAGGCTCGGGCTCGACGGTGGGCGGCTGTGCGCCCACAAAGGCTGCCGGCGCCTCCCTGGGCCCGGGAAGTAGGGGGTGGGGGTAAAGGATGGGCCGGTCACTAGCTGGGGGTCGCATGGTTGGGGGGATGGGCTGCGGTTCCATTCTTAAATCCGCCCGGGCGGCTTCCGATTGCAGCTGTGGCTGGATGCCCCACCCTTTTTTGATGCAGCTCCGAGCGCGCAGTGAAGGGCTCGCGTGCAGGCCGGCGGGCTCCCCGGGGGTCGGGAGGGGCGGGGGCTTCGATGACCGCTCCCCGCCGCGCCCTGCGCGCTCTCTCACTGCACCTGCTCCCGCGCCCCCCGCGCTCGCGTCCCGAGCTCAGAGGCCAGGACCATGGTCAGCGCCTCCCCGGACCGCCTCGGAGAATCTCGCCACCTTGACTCCTGCTCGCAGCGTGAGAAGAACGAGGGAGGCGTCAGAGTCACCCGAGGAAACCGAAACGCTCCTAAATAGCCATGTGGAGAGCAAAGTTCCACTAAGTACCTTAGCAAGGGCTTCCCAGAGCGCTCCCCCCGCCGCTATTTGGGAGGAATTTTGGGGATGGAGACTAAAGTGAATTACCTTCGAAGGGTAAAAAGAAAAGAAAAAGGGGGAAAACCTCATTTTGAATAGATTGTCAAAGATGGATTACATCCCCTACTCTGTGTCAATGGGGGAACAAAGAAGACCAATTTAGTAAAGCTTGATTTTAGAAAATGTTTGTCATCTCTGGCAAATATGAACAGTGTGCATTTTAAGTGCAGTAGTCTTCTCACACCACATTTTTTTTTTTTTTTAAATCAGGGTGACCTTCATACTCGTGCAGGTTTTTTCCACAGCCTTGTTTTCTCAACTGATCGATTACAGTGTAAAATTTTTTAACACTTGTTTGCTGTTTCTCTCGCCTGCCCATTGGCGAAGGTGAGAAATCAGTCAATGAGTGATTATTTCTTGAATACCTATTGTGTGCCTTCTCTTGTGGGGTAGCAGGAAGATTAGCTATAAAAAGTTCAAGGTGGTTTCTTCTTAAGGGGCTTCCAGAGTAGTTGGGAGTGGTCTATACATATTCACCGAGTGATTCCACAAGCGTTTATTCGGCGTTCAGATTGTGTGCTCACAGTGAGAACAGTTAAGAGTTGGTGATAATGGCCTGAACATGTTATCGTTTCCTGATGTGGCATAGATTTTGGAGGCTTTGATGCTTAAAGGACCAATTCTAAGAAAGATAAACTATTTGCTGTCGTTTTCAAAAGGTGGAACAACAAATCACTTAATTGATTCCTCCTCCCCAGCTCTGTCCTCTGGTTCACTCACAGAGGGGAGTATCTGATGTCCATATTTCACTACGAAGCAACCAGAAGAACCGAAATGTAAAAAACTCGCTTTGTTCCAAGTGATCAGATAACTGAAGTAAAAATTTCTAATAATACAACCTCATCTTCAGTAAGTTGTGCTGGTAATTCTAATGTCCTAAAGGGAGCAGAAAAATGCCTTGAGATAAGGAAGAGACCATTTAAAAAAATGGCAGATCAGGGGGCAGAGGTTGAAAGTGGCCACCCCTATAATGGTGGCAGTGAATTAAAACTCAAGTTTGAAAGGCGAAGTTTTGCTGGGTGGAATAGCACATCTCTTTTCCTGTCCATTTAGAAGCTTAGCTGTTTGATCATCAGAGCTACTTGTTGGAACACCCCTTGAATTTATTATAAATTCTAAGTTGTAAACCTGGGGTGCATGGAGGGGGAGACTTGAAGAGGAAATACCCAACCGAAATCCTAGGCCATTTCAGCCTCTGCAAACCTACATTTGCTTCAGCTGCCTGGTTATCAGTAACACAGGGGGATCCTGGCTTGGTCTTTCTGCAGCCTTCCCTGGATTTTCATTTCCAATTTTGCCTTAACACATAAGGCCTGTTCCTATGGGATTTTTTTTTTTATCCCATAGGACTAAGAACATTTACCAGGGTCAGTGCTTACAGTGTTTGAGTATTTCATGTCTATATGAGAGAGAAAAGGCATTTGAGGGGTGTGTATGTGTGTAACAATGGTGATTTCCAAAAGCATAGGTGGGCCCACCATTTTGACTGAAGTGAGTAGCCGGTACTTAGTTTTCATCTAGTGAGTGGGCTGACTGCTAGCATCTCAGTGCGTTCCTCTTGGAAGCCCTGGCGCCAAAGAGGTGGGGGGAACTAGAGTGTGTGGATCCTGGGGCCCCTGTCTCATGCCCCCACTCCTCCCCTGAATCTGTCTTTATAGGTGTTAATGTGTTATCAGAAGTGGCTTCACCCACCTGTTGCACTAGGGGTCCTGCTGTTCTGCCAGCAAGGCTTTTGGAAGGGAGAGAACAGGCTTCTACAGCTCAGATGAGCAGAGGCTGAGTATCTGCACTTGCAGGAACTAAATGAAATATGCTTTTGGTGTGAGCAGGTCCGCTCTAGAAGGCAATGGATGTGGCTTGGGCTGGGATGTGTCAGGTTTTGGTGAAAGGAAAGAGCCAGTGTAGTGAATGTGAATGAGGAAAGCTGCTATCTCATTACTCTCTTTTTCCTTTGTGTCCTTGGGGAAGTCCACCTTGGCTGCAGTGAGGTTAAATTGATTACTACCTGTGGAGGACTCTGAGCCTCTTGGACTAGAGAGCAGAAGGGCAATGTTGTTGACTGAATTCTCCCTTGCCAGTGCCCAGGGGTCCCTCAGCCTCCTCCCTTCTAGGAATTCCCTACATTCCACCTGACACACAGTTTAGCCAGAACCAGTTGTTCAGCCAGGGATACTGGACCCTGAGCATCCCTTCCCAAGGGGCTCTCAGGACTTTCTCCCAGCAGCAAACAACCTCCATAGGCTTGAGGGGCAGGGGAGTTATTCTCCACTTCTCCAGGGCACATTCCAGTGAGTGAACTGTATACACCAGTGTTGCTGAACTTGACAAAACCACTAGGTCTGTAAAATGGTTTCTGACATTCCCTTCCATTCTGCATTGCTGTCCCCTATGCCCATGTTGATCATCTCCCAGTGCTGGGAGCCCAGTGACTCTGCTGCCCTCCTATTGTTCAATGCCACCCCTCCGCTATCCTGATGGTGATGCCCCTTCTAGATCTTTCTTCCTCCAAAAGCAAGGAGTTCTGAAATCACTCTCTCCCCCTTTGCCCTCCCTTCTTCGGTTCAAAATCCCTTCCTGTGTTAATCTTAGCTAGAGAGAAATCCCAGTGATTGAAGGCATCCATCTCTTATGTGAATGACTGATAGAAAAGTTGTCCCCAGAGGTACTTGTTTGATAATAGACTAGCCTGTTCAACAAAGTGAATGTCTAGTTAGTGGGATGTGTGGTAGAGATTTGGCTGGGAGCCTAGAACAAGGGCATTAATTTGATACTTTAAGAGGCCACATTGTTTCAAAGGAGGAGATACAAATATGAACGTCTGTATGTTCAGGATTCCAAAGAAGCCTAAGACTCATCTGGGTTCCAAGGGAGAGGGGTGATTGGGGAAGAGAAGGAAATGGCGATAATCCATAGTTATTGATTGCTCTTGATTTCCTAAGTGATTACAGAACTAATCACATAATTAATTAAATTAAAAAAATTTAATTATGGTGAAATATACATAACAAAATTTACCATCTTAATCATTTTTAAATGTAAAGTTCCGTAGTGTTATGCAACTTTTCTCCAGAACTTTTTTCTGCTTGCAAAGCTGAAACTCTGTGCCCGTTAAACAATTACTCCTCATTTCCCCTCCCCCCAGCCCTTAGCAACCGCCATTCAACTTTCCGTTTCTATGAATTTGACGGCTCTAGCACCTCAAATAAGTGGACTCACACAGTGTTAGTCTTTTTGTGGTTGGCTTATTTCACTTAGCATAATGTCCTCAAGGTTCATCCATGTTGTAGCATGTGACAGGATTTCTCTCTTTTTAAAGGCTGAATAATATTCCTATCATTAGTTAAATTTTAACAAGTTGTTGGTGATTGAAAAAGTTGTTGCTCAATTAATAGACCTGCAATGAATTAATTATGGGAAATGGTAAGAAGGGTTGTATTTGGGGTGAGATAGACTCCTCCAGCCAGGGGCCT